GTAAATTTATGTCTGAATAACATATACAGTAACTAATTAAAGTTTTTATTTTATGTACATGTCAGACTGTGATTTGCTTGTAAGGAATAATGACTCCTTCTGAAGTACTATTGGAATCAAATTTCTGCACCATCGTGAATGAAGAAATTGTTCGTGAATGCTCACCTACATACAAGAACAAACAATTGTAGTTAACCTAAGGTACCAGTATCGTATCGGCCACAGGGTCTCCTATGGCCAGGTTAGTATAAAGTATTCGAACTTAAACAGTGGCTAGAGAGCAAAGTATGTGATGAAAATGTTATTGACGAGTCCTAAGTTGGGTATTTATACTAGTTGGGAGAGAGTGTTTTTAGGATATAAAATCCGCATTCAACCAAGAGAATCCTAGAGGATATCTAGCATAAGATCTTACTTCCTTTTAAGAATGTGATTACTTGCGGTAGACGTTAATCCCTAAATTGTAGGAATCTCCAAGAATACAGAAAACCAATCTAATCCCCGAACGTATTAGGTTTCTGTGTCTTGCTACCAATGTATTAAAAGGCAAAGGCGTAGGCGAGGCATCTCATGGATAGCCCCACCTCGCCTCACGGTATCTAAAATTTTAATATACATACATACATATATATATATATATATATATATATATATAATACTTTGTAAATAGATATAATTATAACTAAATCAAAGATTATATCATCTTCTTTATTACTATGTCTAGTTGTACTTAGAAACTATGTCAAAATGTCTTAAAATGTTACGTATTATTTATTTTATTGTAAGTAATTATAGAGAACTTCAAGAGAAATAAGGGTGAGTGACCAAAATTATAGGGAATTTCAAGGAAAATAAAGGATGAATGTCACAATTATAGGGGAATTTAAAATGAAATAAAGACTGAGTGGAGCAGTTATAGGGAATTTAAAAGGAAATAGTGGAGCAATTATTATAGGGAAGTTAAGGGAAAATAAAGGCTGAGTGGAGTAGTTATAGGGAATTGGAAGAGAACTAAAACTTTGCAAATAAAAAATGCTAGGTGGCGGAATCTCAATGGACAACAATTTAAAAAAAAAATAGAAAAGAGTTAGAGTTAGACTTTATCACGTAGGATTTGGAGAGAGAAACTCTCATTTTCTTCTTCTTTGAAACTAGAAGTCTCCTGCATTTTAGAAACAAACATGGATTTTGAAGGGAAAAAAAGGCCCTAGGCGCACCCCAACGCCGCCCTTACGCCAACCCCACAAAACAGAGGCTAAAACCCAGCCGCCCAGCCTTCAATGCCGCCTAGGCGCGTCCTGAGGCGAGTTTTTTTAAAACATTGCTTTCTACAAATCTACCGGCCTCGCCAACCATTCCAGAGCCAATAGGTGTGGTGGCACTGTTGTTCCTTAGGCAGCTTAGTCCGATTGGAGTCGTTGCATCCATGATTGGACTTCTGAGGTACTGGTATTCCAATTTACCTTACTCAACACAGTAAAGTTCAAGGTCCACAAATGCCACTAACTATGCTTTTGAAAGGGCATTCCGCTTGACGATGGATAGTTACCCAAGGACCATGACTTTCGAAGTAAATCAGAATATCTTACTGTTCGGAATTCTTTTACACGCGTCAATCCAGTTCTGTTACCAATTTGAAGTAGTGGAGATGTTTGGATTCAAGTGTGCGATAGTGTAGGTCATACCATTAAGATAATAATCATGATGGGCCATCATATCATGTGTGCACGAAGCCTGAAATGTTACTATTGGAACTAAATTCGCGCACCAGCGAGGTGATGGAGATGCATAAATCCGAATAACCTGTGAAAGATCAAACAACTGTGAGCAAGCCTAAGACCAAGGGTGTGCCGACCAAAGGCTTTTCGATGGTCAAGTTAGTAAGCAAGTATAAGACTCAAGCAGTGGGCAAGAAAATTAGAATGCGATGATTGCGTTACCAGAGACGAGCCCTAGAATGATGTATTTATACCAGTTGAGAGGGAGACCTTTTTAGTATAGAATCATGTATTAAGTCAAGAGAATCCCACATGATATCTAAGGGTATTTATTGCATCCTCTTAGGAGTGTGATTACTTGTGCCGCACACCAATTCCTAAATTGAAGGAACTCCAAGAATATATGAAACTTGGTTGATTCCATGTTCTATCAGGTTCTTGTATCTTGCAGAACAATTATGGTCAATCTCATCGAAGTTGCTCGAACTTTGCCTACTGCTCCAAAACATGATGATGGTGGCAATACACACCCACGTGAATAGAAAATTGGCACCCGACAAAAGCAAGTAGCCATTTGAAACTTGGAAATAGCAGCCAACTAGGTCCACAAACCATAGCCACTGCCAGTCTACCAGCACACTTCATTGCAGCCCACCTTTGCCCCAACCACTAGTCATCAGCCACCAGGCTCACATCTGGCCACTGTAATTTTTGAGGTAAAACTCTAATATTTCAAATTTAAATCCCTAATTGACAATCTAAAAAATTGGATTGATTATTGATTAGTTAAATTGTTGTTTGATTAGCTAGCTAAATTTTTGTTTAATATATATGATTATTGATTGTTGGTTGTTTAATTTGAGAGAGATGTATTTACTTTTACTGATAATGAGTTTGTTATGCGACATGAAGCATCGAGGCAACAATTGTAACTTGTTTGTATTGATAAATTATGAATGACGTTAATATTGTCTACCATCTAAAAATAATTTAGTTGTCTCTATTTTTTGTAACCTCGCACTCTTTTAAACTCCCCCTCGCTCCGCCGACAATCCCTGACTTCGCCACTGGTTGAGGGATCGATAAGGAAGAAAGTACAGCTGAGGAATACAATTATTTGATACAAGATGCTAGATATAAGTATCTTAATTATCATTCAGTTGGCCTTAGTGATTTTTATATTAGCCATGTGTCATGCATAATGATTTTTCTTTCTCTCATATTCTCTGTCATGAAGAATCTAAAATGATATCTACTGCCACTAGCATATTACAGTCTAATAACATATTGTTTGGGCCCAAAGTAATATTGTTGGGCCGAGTGTAGGTTTATGCTCGGCCTAAAGCTGTTTCAAATATACTATGGGCTGCTTGGTGATCCCAGGCCATTCAACAAGGATGGTCAAGTCCTATCGTAAGAATGAATAGTGCAGATAAACAAAAAAGGTTGAACGAGTCCTAGTGCAGTTTAGATTCTCGACCAACAATGAATATAGCTTCAAAAAGGGGGTGAGTTCAAAGTCCTAATAGGGGTAAGATTGGTCGAAGTAGAGTCGGAATAGAACAAGAAGTCCCAATCCATATATAATTTTGACTCGATCTCAAGGAGGATTTGGTGCTATAAATACAAGACATCATGCAACAATTGAAGGACCTCCAATTCAACACACAACTGCCCTGCGCAAAACCTCTTAAACATCTTGAGATTTTTTTATTTTCTTTTTTCCGCCGACACATCTTCAGTTTGGATAAACAGTACTGTAAAGGCAACCGGTGAACACCTTCAATTTGGATAAACAGCACTGCGTCGAGGCCGACTGGTTACCTATCCAAGTCTTGGTCGAGAAGGGTTTCCGGATCCTTATTGGCAGAGGTCATCTTATTAGTCTTCTCAGCGAGGTAAGGTGTTATGAGTTACGACATTCAGCATATTGAAAGCCAAGTGATTTTATGATTGGATACTCACAAGTGAGTTTCAGAGTTCGGCATTCTGACTGTCGAACCACATTCACAATCAAGACATACATCACCTTTGAATACTTGTATTCGTACAGTCTGGTGTCGATTCGACGTGCTTATACTCTAACGAATATAATCACTGTGACCGAATCCGGCGCCGATGATTTGTGAACTTCGCAGAACTAGTAGCCTTGTCTTTAGGCTTGAGAATCCAAAGGCTGAGATTTGTTCCTTCCTCGGTTGCAGTCGCAAGATAAAGAAGTCAGCAACGCGCTCAACGCAACATCAACAAATTTTACTCCTCGGTTGAGCTCGGCCGACGAGTTGGCACGCCCCGCATTCAACCGAATGACGTAGTTAGCTTATTAGTTACTCGGCATATGCACCACGTAGCTTTGTAATTTTTAGGGTCAACATATATATGTACTTATAAGTAAAAGATCTTAAATTTGAATCACATAACTTGAGGTTCATAACCTAATTATTATGACTAACTCATTGTTGTATTGGATAAAAATGGAGTAAGCTCAACCAAAGACAATTTTGCAATGCCAATGAGCGTAGTATGTTTTTAAAGGAAAAAAGATTTAAAATGCGAATAAAGTAGGGTTAATGATTTCAATCCAATTGATTCTTTAAGAGTCATATGATGATTAAGTTTTTCAACATATCGTAAGTTTGCCAAGTAATCAGACCTCCACCCTAGATGTCGGACTTAGACCTTGGGCCCCGACCTCTAATTTTGATCCTAAATTCAAAGTTCTAACATTTAATTTCATACAACAATTTAGCACGAACTTATAATTAAGTAAAGTAATTGATTGTATGAAGAGGTTGGGCCTAAACTTAGACCTACAGAGCAAATTCTATCCACCGTGGATTGTGAGTGATTAACACTAATTTATTCATATTTTAAAATCTTTATTTTCCTTTTGTTCACAATGAAAAAAATACTATACGGTACAAACATATGGTAGTACTATTTACACATTCACTTTTATTTCTCACACGTCCTTTTTAGTTTTTGATCGTCGGATCGAATGAATTAAAGAAGATAAATGATAAAAAAAAATTAACAAAAATGTGTAAGAAGTAAAATTAAACATGTAAATAACAGTATCCTAAATATAGAATAAGATTCGCGTTTTTCGTTTACCCTCTTGAAAGTGGGAAACATTTACCATAACTAGCACGGATAATGCTCCTACAGCAGAACACAATTACAAAATTAATTCAGAGGTTAAAAAAATGAAATTCTATTTTTGATAAAACAAAAAAACTAGAAAATTGAAGCAAAATATAAGAACACGTCGATCATTATTGCACATAAATTTTCGGCTAATAAAAGAAATTCGAATTAAGAATTTTACCAGAAAAAAACAAACGCGTTTGTAGGACTACCAATGTGGACGGCTGGGATTTCACCTGACCCATAATTTTTGCAAAAGCCTGGTCTTTCCATGCACGTTTGCGGTGGCGCATTCACCGTCAACCAACTTAACGCAAACCCCACTATATATACTCCTCCCTCCTGTCTTTCCCTCTCAACCCTGTCCTTGTCCAAATCACAAACCCTCCTGCTCCCTCTCTCTCTCCCACGCGCTCTCTACCTGCCTGTGTTTTCTCTCTCCCATACTGAACTCACAATGGCAAGCTCTTCATTCGCGTTGTTGATGGTGACAGTGGCTCTCCTTGCCACCTCCGCCTTCGCCGAGGATAAGGCTCAATCCCCCTCATCCTCTCCCTCTCAATCACCATCCTCCACTCCTCCCCCATCCTCCACTCAACCACCATTATCAACCCCAGCAGCCTCTGCCAAAACACCATCTGCCACCCCAGCAGCGACCCCATCCGTCACCCAAGCAGCTACCCCGTCCGCCTCCTCTAAGGCTCCCAAGTCGTCGGATGCATCCTCCTCTCCATCCTCCGCCCCCACCACGTCCACCACCTCCTCCTCCTCCTCCTCCTCCCCATCCTCCTCCCCATCCAGCTCTACATCATCCGACTCCTCCTCCCCATCCTCCTCCCCATCCAGCTCTACATCATCCGACTCTCCACCCTCCCCACCCGCCTCCAGCCCATCCACCTCCGACACCTCGGTTGCTCCCTCCGAGTCGACTACTTCTGCTGAGGCTCCCGCCCCATCTGGAGCCGCCGTGAACAGAGGCTTCGCTGCCGGATCCGTGGCCGCCGTCGTCATTGCGGCGTCGATCTTGGCCTAAATGTGCTTTGAGGACAAGGTCTTTTTCTGCTGTTGGGTCACCGAAAGAGAGATTCGGCGGGCGGATCTTGAGTTTCGTATATTAGCGGGTAGAGCTTAACTACTATTTTGGTTTTATAGTTGTTATAGAGTGGGTTATTATTGGTGATGGAGATATTATTTGAACGGTGTTGATTTGATCGGACGGGGGTTCTGCGACTGATGGTTTAATCCATCGGCCTTAATTATTAATTATAATTATTATTATTACTTGATCATTCCCGCTGCTGATGATGATCACTATGGAAATTCTTTTGTTATGATCTAATGATATATATCATTAATTATATCTAATTCGTTGAGTTTAATGTCTTTGATTTAAGCATGAAAAATGCCAAGGAGACTTTTATATAGTATTTACATTAATTATTGTGCTTATATTATAAAATAATATGCTAAAAATATAAGTTGACAAATAATTTATGAACAATTTCATTTTTTAAAGGGTCTTTTTTTTTTTTTTTTGTATAAAAGAGAAAATTGGACTCTTTAACTCATTGGATAACTCTAGAGGATGAGAATTGAGTAATGCTAAGAAGAAAATATTTGAAGATAAAATTTTATAACTAAATGATATGGAGGGTTATGATTAGATTATTACTTAAGCATTGTAAACATGTTCATTTTCAATTGGTGATATATTATTTAATTTGTAAATTTTATTTACAAAGTTTGTCTTCCTAATATTACTCTGAGAAGTATAATAGATTGCTTCGTTTGAATAATTAAACAATGTGGGTAAAGATTTTAAAAGCGTTTGTTTATCATTTACTTATTAAACGAAAAGAATCATCTTCGGATTCTTCTATCTAATTTGGGATATGGACTGTTAAAATTTGATTTAACCGCTACAAACAGAATGCCATTTTAAAAGTGATAATAACTGTAACTGTTAGATCAAATTTCAATAATCCAAATTCTATAATAGATGGATTAGGTGGAAAGAGATTCCCTTATTAATTTTCTTGAATTGATTTGGTTTTTGTCGTTTGGTGAAGAAAAGGTAGAGCAACGGTCTCGAAAGCCACGTGGTTTGCGACAAACTGACATGCAGAAAGCAACCCATTAGCTTTGGTGCCGTTTGGTACGTGGGACGGGACGGAACAGAGTGGGGTGAGGCGTTCCGTCCCACATTTGGTGCGCCTAAAACGGGTGGAACGAGCTGTTCCACGGGACGAGTTTTGGGTGAATTTTCGTTCCACCTCACCCCCTGGAACGACTTGTTCCACTTCCGTGGAACACAAAATTATAACCTCTCTGTCTCCTTCTTCCTCCTTGTTTCCATCCGAGGGCATCTTTGCTCCCGCTCCGTTCTGTTCCGTCCTGTCCCGTCCCGTCCCATCCCATTCCATTCTGTCCCGTCCCGTCTGCATATAAACGATACCTTTGAGAACAGAGTAGCTAGGTTATGCTGGTTTAGTATTATTAAATTTGTTAGGCCCTTTGGATTTTATAAAAGAAAACTAATGAAAAATGTTTGAAAACTGAGTTTTAATGATAAGAATAAAACAAAGGGTAAAGTGAATAGTACCAGGATTGGTGTTTTAGTGAAAAAATGTGGTTTTTCGTTAAAGTAAACAATACTGTGGGCTTTTCGTTAAAACTCCCCTTTATAAATTTGAACAGGTTACTCAAAAGATGAATAAGAGTTTTTACTTAAAATAATTTGTAGCTGATTCAAAGAATTTTTTTGTTTATGATTGAATCTGTGTGTTCATATCACAAATCATTCTATAAAAACAAATGAATGAAATTGGTAAAAATATTACAAACAATCTATATATTTGCTACAATAGATTGAGTAAATGATCTAACTTTTAGTTTATTTTTTACAAAAATAATCTTTACAAAGTGATTCATAATATAAATAATTATGACCATAAACACGAAACTCTGTAATGTGATTTGATGACGGTTTTGCTTAAAAATGTGCAATTATATTCCTCTAGTTTAGGATAGGGCTGGGCATGGGCTGGGTCCAATTTTGAAGGGACCGGACCGGACCTAGGTTCAAAAAGAACAGGGCGGGCCGGGCCGGGGATTACATTTTCTAATATAAGAGAACCGGACATTACCCAGCCCGGTTGAAACGGGCCGATTCAAGCCGGGTCCACGGGTCCTGTTGTGTTGGATTGGTGTTGACCCTGAAGCTAGGTTTCATCATCATTCATTTTCTTCTTCATTGACGCCGACCATGGAAGGTAGGCTTCCAATTTCAAATTCTGCAACCAAGGTTGCTGTCCTCTTGCTACTCTTTCCGTAGCATGCATGTTAAGCTTAGATAATCAAACTCCACAATCACCGTTCTAAAGCCTTCCTCTACACACACCAGCATCGAATCTTTCGACAGGGCTGAGAAATTCCTCATCTGGATCGACATCAGCGGGCTCTCCGACGCCGTTTTGAACTCGATCTGAGTGGTTCTCGGGTTTGGGCTTCGTCGAAAACCAATTTCGTGGTCTTGCCGTCGACATCTTAGAGAGCCTCTCTCTCCTCTCTCTCTTTCTCTGACCTTGCGAATTCCGGTGACCTCTTTTCTCTCTTCTTTCTCAAGGGAAGCTTCCATGAATTGCTCCCTGCCCCATCCCATCATCAACGAACGAAGTCTACGAAGTCTCGTGGGCTCGGGTAGGCTCGGGAAATCCCAAAAGAACAAAAACCCAGCTCCAAAAATCAAATAAAAACAGACCCAGATGACCATTTCAATCAAATCACAACCAAAAAACAAGCAAGATCCATGTGAAAATCGCAGCAAATGAAAGGAAGCAGAAGAAAATATTTACCTTGCTGGGTACACGAGTTGTTCGACTTCGTTGTTCGTCGGAGAGAGAGAAACTGATTTTCTTTTATTATTCATTCTAGAAACGGGCCGGGCCGGGGGCCCGTCCACTTCTATTTCAAGATCCGCCCCGCCCCGCTAATATGGTATACCCGAACCGCCCCGCCCCGTTTTGTGTTTAGAAATTTTGGACCCGGCCCTTACCCGCCCTAAACAACGGGTACCCGCCCCTACCCGCGGGTCCAGGATCCGTTTGCCCAACCCTAGTTTAGGAGAAAAACCTTAGTAGTGTACGCTCCTCTCACAATGTTGCGTTGGTCTTACTCGGTATGAAAGTTAAACAAGTGCATGAAATTTGTATTTTGATAGCATTTTACATTATGTTATATTTTATGGGTGAAAAATGACAATGAGTGAGATAATAAGACATTTGGAACAAGTCCAAAACTGTTAATATTGTTATTTTACTATATAAACGTCATAATCGACATTATTATCTCATTATTATAATTTAAATATCACCTCTTGAACTCAGTTAGTATTTTGGTTTGGAGGTAATACTCTACATTTGTAAGTAAGAGGTTTTAGGTTCAAGTCTTATAAATATTTATACTAATTTATTCTCTCCCATAAAAATATGTCATTGTTTGAAACAAAAAAACCATCTCTGGATAATTCATTCAATTTGATGAGGATTGTTTAATCATCCATCTAAATTAATAAATTAATTAACAATTCAATTGTAAGGATGCTACTTATTATTACAACCGTACTGTCAATTTGTTTGACACACACTGATCACTAAACTATTTTTGAATTAAATAATTATTTTCAAATGTCATATATATTTAGGTAATGATAAAAAAAATGATTGATTTTGACTATGACGTTTGTACGATAAAACAATGTCACGTTAGGCCGGGAAGAAACACTTTCGTTCTTGGCGGAGGAGGAAAGTATTATTCATATGGAAATGAGCTTGTGGAATAAGCCCAAGCGTATGGTGTTCCAATTTGTAGCCTTAAGATGTATTTAATGAACTTGTTTTAATATCAAGTGGAGGACAGACAACTGCTTATCAATAGGAAGACGTTCTTCTTTACAGATAAATTACAATTCGAAACATGCATATAAACATTCATTTGGTAATTTTAATTAGTTAAGTGATGAGATGTCTGAGATTGTGGTTTGCATGTTACAATTCTAATAGAAAATGTAGGATATTAACACATATAACTTATCCCTTCTAATTTTCCAAAAATATAAAATTCCTTGGTACATACTTTCATTTCTTACTTTGACATAACTTGAATTTTATTAGTCTACTTTCATTTCATAATTTGGTTTATTAGTTTGTGCATCCATTGGGCTTCAGTTCAGCTTGTGTGTCACATTTGGGCTCCGACCAATTTGGCCTTGTTTCCAATGGTGGCCCAGCTCGTTGCCTCCGTCATTTTTCTTTTATTTTCTCTTTACAACATCATATTTCAAAGAATTCAAAAGTTTTCAATTTGAACTTTTTATTCACTCATGTAATTATTAATAATTTTCTTTCGGTAAATGAAGTTTGTTGAATTACTCCAATGTTATTTTTCTTTTTTAAATTTTCATATTTTTAATATTTTTAATAGCGAATTTCGATTAACTACCAAAATAAAATCAGGAATAAAATTCATTATCGCTTACGTTTGGAATGTTTACTTGCATTATATTACATTAAAGGGATTGTTGAGTGAGATGGGTTAGGGAATCATGGCCCTTCAAAAGCAAAGTGCATAATATGTATGAACCCTCAATTATACTACATAAATGTATCATGGACCCTAAAAAGTTATAAAATTGGACTAAATCATAACATAAGAAACTCAGAGTACTTAAAATTAAACAAGAAGAAATAAAATAGCACTGCCTCTATCCTGGCACTTAGAGTGATATCATCTCACCAACCTGCCAAACTTAAGAAAGAAGGAACATACAAAAACCAACCAAACTAATGACACTCCACAAAGCCACAACAAGAGAGCTAGAGTGGCTAATCCCAACACCAGTTGTTGAGGATGTGGTACTTGCAGGGGTTGTAACTGTAGAGTTACCGCCGGAACCACCGGATGCTGAATTACTGGATGGTGCTGCGGTTGATCCTGACCCTACAGTCACAGAAAGCTTCATCCCCATACCACAATGCCCAATCGTAGCGCAAATGTAGTTATGAGTCCCGGCAGTCTTGAGGGTGATGGTGGTGGCTCCGCTGCTATCACTTGTAATTGAATTTCCCAAAGTGCATGTTTTGTAGTCACTAGCAGTCACTTCATCCACCGTGTGCCCACTTCCATAGTTGAAAACTACCAGGTAACAAAAATTTAGGAAAAATATACACAATTAGCTAAAACATAACCAAAGTGGGGGTGCTTTTGTTTTCACTAGATATCTGATGTGTTATTAGACCATAATTTTCACACCTACATAATTCTCAAACCACACTATAAAAAAAAAAAAAAATATTTCTGATCAACAATCTAGATTGAAATCTTCTACGAAATTCTCAAACTGTACTCATTAAACAAGAGCTCCTCTAATAACTTTCAAATGACAGATCAAAACAAGAATTTATCTTACAATCTGATAACATGAACATTTATTTTGAAGCATGTGCATGATAGTATAATTAAAGGGGAATAGGATTTTTACCTAGGCTGTCACCAACTTTAAAGGTCTTGCCACTAGTCCAAGTGGTATAATCCACACCACTAGCCCACCCAGAGGAGTCTCCAACGGTGTAGACAGTGGCTAAGCAGCTTGGCACCATGACCATGGCAACAACTAGGGCTAAACCCCCAATTCTGGCCATTTTTTATGAGCTAGCCCAGCTACGACCAGAGAGAGAGAGGGAGAGAGAGAGAGAGGCCCTTTGTGATGATAATTCTATAGAGTGGAACTCACTTATATAATGGCATGAAGGGGGCTGGAGTAAGTAGGGTTTGGTCGACTTAATTGAAATGCAGCATGTTCTCTCTAGGAACTCATTGCAGGATGACTTTAGTTATGACTTCATACCTAATGCTTTTCTTTTTATTTCTTTTTGTATTGTTAATCTCCTAACTTTCAGAAAGAAAAAAAAAAAAGCAAAAAAATGTGATGAGTAATAAGGCTATCATCATCTAGGTTTGTTATGATAAATAATGTTCTAACTTCTATCTTTCTTTTTTTTTTTTTTTTTTTTTTTTTTTTGCAAACCCAATTCTAAGCACCAAAGTGGACTAATTAAATTAAAAGCAATGTGATCGAAGGGGTGGTATACTTTTAATTTATTATATGGCTTTGTTGGTAGACCTTTCATCATCTCTTTGATGATGGATTGCGAATTAAGAAAGGATTAACATGTTAAGGTCATAAGAGTTATGATTAATGCCAAATAGAATCCAATCTCCAAAGATAAGCATATTTAGACACAAAATATTTGAAAGATGATCCACATTTGAAAATTTGTAGTCTTATTGGAGAAAAAACAAAGGGGAGAATTTGGATACGGTCTCTAGTTATGAATATTTTTTTAATTGAAACCGTGTTGGTTTTCAATTTTTGATCGAAGTCCCTGAAATTAATGTGATAATTTATTTCTATGTACCCATATAAATAAATAAATAAAAGATATTAGGCTTAATAACATTAGTAAATTTCTTTGATTAAACTTGACATGGATACATTCTCAAATCAAAGAAAAAAGAATGTACCCATATAAGTTTAAAAATGGATTAGAAAAAAATTGAATAGATTTTATACAAAAAAAAAAAAAAGGGGTACATTTTACATATAACAAATTGGTATATTTAAGAATAAGTACATTTTAAGATTAAAAATTTGAAAAAATTACATGAATGGGTACATATAAGGTTAAAAAATTGAAAACATTTTTTAAAAAAGCTAATGGGTACAAACTTATTCTATTTTATTTATTTATTTTGGAAATGTTTTGAATTGAAAATTAGTTAGGAATTTAATAAAGGTGTGAGTATTAAAATTCTAAATCAATTATTAATTTTTATTTAAAAAAAAAATTATGTAACTAACATATAAATTCATTATTACATTAATGCTAGGGACTTTGATCAAATCTTAAAAACTAATAAGGTTTCAGTCAATGAACATTAGTAACTACAGACCGGATACTAATTTTTCCAAAAAAAATTGTATTACACACTAAGCATAATAAGGGTTATCTCATTTTTCCAAAGCGTAATAAAGGTTAACTGAACGTGAGGTTGTATTACATACATATATGGAAACTTGTTGTTACTCCAAATTAGTCAGCTTGCATTCAACAAAGAAATATAGGAGAAAAATAACATTAAAAATGAGTGCATAATGACTTTTTAAGAGCCAATAACATTTTCCTAATAGAAATGTGAGCTTTATTCGTTGAGCATTGACATAACACTAAAATGAAACAAGGTGGAGGTGATTTCACTTTCATGACCTAGAACGCTAAAGGGCAAGGGAGAGCCGAACCTTTGATTGGCAAGGACACATACAAAATTCTCGACTTCGAGAGATTTGAGATTGTATAATTAACTTAGTGCAATAAGACAAATTTCATTGAGATGAATCAAAGTTCTTACAGATTGTCTGCAATGGACAAAATTACAAACGTTCAAGGACAAAAGTAAGATGGAAATAAGTTTAGAATCGAAGCTAGAAAATCCCATGAAGTTCAGGGATCAAATTTGCAATTAACCCTAGTTCAAATATAAAGAAAAAAATTTGTCAAAGTGGGTTAATTGTTAATTAGCATGAATAGAAAGTAAACCTTAATAATATTAAAGTTAGTTCTGGTTAATATTATTATTCTTGTCCAACTACAAACATAGGTCAAAGTGGGTTTGATATGTCGGAGATGGGAAGTCACATTCTATGAGCAAAACGGTTCACCTAACAAGTTACTAGAAGCCATCATGGGCATATATATTTTCTGTTCATGCATGAGATGAGTCATGACCCAAATAAAACATCTGGGTCCATCTCACCACGTACCAAACTTTTTCAGATGTAAAAATTGGGGTTTGGTTATTTTGGTTGGGATGTGATATCTACATATTTTATTTTATTTCTTACAAATCTTTTTAATTTTCGGCTGTCGGATCAGATGAATTGAAGAAAATCAACGGATTGAAATTATCAAGGGATGTGAGAAGTAAAATGAAGTGTGTGAATAACACACCTCTTTTGGTTTTGGTAATGGTTGTTTGAGGTCATTTGGTTCCACCAACTACCTGTGAAAGGAAATCTGGCTAGTACGCTCAATTGCTTAGGGAACAAAATTATGACACTAATCAAGTTTTGAGAGTTAAAAACGCAAAGAATTAGGATTAAGATAGATCAACTATTCGATTCTGTCAACATAATGTAATTGGAAGGAAAAAAATTTATGAATACATTGTTCCAAGCCACAAAAGACATTTGAGCTTACCTACGTACGAGTTTTGGTGATTAGTGGCTCTACGTATTCGTAGATTTACTTTTAAATCTTATACTCGATGTCGATGAAAGATTGAGTCTTGGGATTTTTCTCAAACTTGCAGAGCAAAAACTTTAAATTTTCGTCAGAGTTATTGAGAATTGGTGCACTTGTAATATTGGCGAAGCCTTTTATTGTTTCTAGAGTTGTACTTTAAACCACAACTAGTTAATTAGAAAAAGATAGTATATGCAGTCCCGTAGGGATAGTTGCACATATCAACTCTTTTATGAATAATGTATTTACACGGTAATAATTCATAATCAGAATTGTTTAGTTTCTTAATCATCATTTTTTAAAAACATATTCAATTGTAGATCGCTTGATCATCCAAATATGTCCAATAAATAAATGGTTTATCATAAAAATCTTACTTGGTGCCTACACTATGAATTTATTTCATACATTGAATAACCAAACGATCTCCATTTCAAATAATTTTTTGTAGGAGTAATCTTTAAATAAAAATTAAGAAATTGAACGGTTTTCATTATCAAATTTGTATCATAAATAAAATTACTTTATTCACAAGAGATAGAGATGTATCCACTCCATGAGGTGGATGCAAGGAATATCTATTTACACTTTCAGCATGCTGTAAGAAATAGACTAGAAGTGGACAAGTTCCAAAACAAATCCAGAAAAATCTCCAATGCAATAATGCATGTGCCTAATCCTTTGGTAAAATCTCAACGTCAAAAGCATTCAGTCCTTTTTCTGGTTGTGTTTTTCTTTTCAATTGAAGACACATTATTCACTCTAATACTGTAGGGAAAGATTACAAAGTTTCTTTTTATAGGTTAGTGGTTCTTTGGGCGTTCATCGGCATGAGTCGAGTGATACTTATTTTCCAATATCGACAGTGTCAAGTTTGTAGTTCCTTGTGTCATAAATTTGAAAAACGAAAACAATAGAAACTTGATTAGGTTACCATTTATTTCTTTAAAATGAAGACTATATGTCACATGTATAAGAAATAAAGATCTCAAAAATGAATGTTTAACCTAAAGTTTTGGACTATTAGGTGACAAGATACATATCAAGACACTAAAACGTTTTATAGTAAAAATAGCTCAATCTATCCAAACTTGTAGCTTGCGTACATAAGCAGCCTCTAGCCTTCCAGCAACCTTGTCCAAGTACTAGAGCGACGGAATCCACCCAAGGACGGTGAAAATCTCAGCGAGCCAAATTCAGAAATTTCACCGTGCCAGCCAAATTCAGTTTGTATCATTGACATTTGACAACTGTGTTTGCTTCCTCGACACTAGAATTCAATTCAGTAGATTTATCACCCAACTCTGAACTTTCTGTTTTTGGTACTTTAACAAATTGTTTACCGCGTGCCACACAAATTCGTCTTCCCATAAGCAGCTGCAGGAAAAGAAGTTTCCAAGGGGAAAATTACCTTCCCGTGGGAAGCAGAAAGAGCTGCCTCAGCCTCGGTCTTGGTTTTGAAGCCCACAAATCCATATCCCGTGGACCTTCGCGGGTTATTTTGGAATACAAATTCCGCTCTAACAACATTATAATCCTCTGAATCGAAGAGCTCCTTGAGATCTTTAGACCTTGCTTCATACGGCAAATTTTCCACATACAAATTGTAAGTTATTGGCTTGGGTTGCGAAGAAGGGGGAGGAATCTCCGTCTTTTTCGGCCTGGCATAAGCCATCTTTATGACACGACCCTCCATTTCCTATAAGGCATTCCAAAATACGCGAAATCATTTACTAGACAATATGGGAAGGAAGCTGCATAAGCATACATATAGTGGCTCAAAATATACAGGAAAAAGCCAACGTATCAACTTGGAAAAAATTACTAGTTAACCCAAATGTTACATTGAAGAACTTCAAAACAAGACACTTAACCCTTTAAACTATACTCTGTATGTTTGGTCCTTTAACATTACCGAAGGGAGTACTCACTCAGTGGCATATGGAAAACTTATTCAAGGGAATAGAAATTATGATCTCATTCTCAAATATTGAGAAAACGGTGGCAGCGCTACCTCCATTGACTTCTTCCCTCTCCCTTTCCCTAAAACATCTTCTAGTCTTCACCACCCTATCACTCCATTCAAACATATATCTCTTCTCATCTCCTTAAACCTTCATGTTAAATCCTCTCTTGCTTTCTCCTGTTTTCAAAATTTGCCACTTTGTGACTCTCCTACAACCAAAAAGTCTCGGTACAAGAAGAGGAACAAACCCAGTGGATGAGGAAACCTTCACAACCTCCACAACTAGTAAGAACTATAATGTGCACAGTAGAAGTACAGTATACCATAGTTCCAGCTCAATCCCTTGTTATTTGATGTTGGAGTGGCTCTGCAGGTTGAACACAAATTGACCAATGGAAGAGGTGGAAGAAGGTAAAGAAGTAAGTGTGTGATAGGGTATGAT